TTTGTTGATCCCTATAAATGTAACTCGCAACCACCCGAAATCCGCAGCTCCCGTCCGGCGTCACATCCAGATAACTCTGTACGTAGCGGTGAACTACGTAGGGAATCCTACCACGATGTCGGTACTGAAAAAAATCCGTCTCAAATGTATCTGTAATATCAGAATAATTTCACATCATAATTTAGGTAATTGAATTTACAAACATAATTAGTCATCGTTCAGATAAAAAATAAAATTAAATTACCTGTCGGATCTTGAGACGATGAGCTTGTCGGGACACATGAAGAAGTGCTTGTACGACCCACCGGACGACCTCTTTCCCTGTAGTCCCACATCGACGGAGCACAAGAAGAAGTGCTCTTACGCCCCGGCCGACGACCTGTTTCCGTGTACCCCAATTGCGATGGAGCACACGAAGAAGTGCTTTTACGCCCCGCCGTACGGCCTCTTTCACTGTACTCCCATCTCGATAGATCGCGTTTTGTTGAATTTTTCTTCTTGGGCCGACCTCTCGGATTTTCCTTCACTGCAGGTTTTGTATATCCCTATTGATCAGGGTGAAGTTGAGAGTCGATGAGATGGTTCAGGTACCGTAAAGTCGCAGGATCGGCCGCTTCAACCTCCTCGGCAAGCCTCCGAAAATAATCATGATCAGTCCATCCACTCGTCGATGCACTCTGCTGACCTGCCATATCGAAAATTTAAAGAATTATACAATATGCTCTATCAAAATTTCTATAAATGAAACAATACATGGAGTTAAAAAAAAAAAAAAATAAACGAAATTTAGGAGAAAAAAAATGTTGAGCATGATGTTCTATAGATTTATTAATCTCGCAATTATACCTGGCTCCGTCACCTCTAGTGTGCTCCAGAAGCTGTGGATGTCATCGGTCGTAATATTTCTACGTACAGTGTGTGCCTCCCTTAGCACACATGCACAAAGAAGTTCATGAGTGTATTTTAGTGCACAATCGCAGCGCTCCGAAACATCTTTGCCGAAGTCTCGCATGTTCTGAAGCTCATCATTCAATATATCCATACAGTAATGCGAGACCCGCAGTGCCAACTGCTCGAAAGAGAATCCCCTGTAGCCCGTACTCATCCTAAGTCTCGAAGACTCCAGCATCTCCCTGGTAATACATTACATAACATTCGACCCAATTAAAATTTATAATCAATGCATTAATAACACAGTCTTACTGTATAAATTAAAGAATATACCTGACTTTAGTCAGTTGAGAATCAATCTCCTTGTCAATCTTCTCCCAAACCGTGTCGAGCAAACCGGTCGACGTGTTAAGCCACCACTTCAACGTAGTGTGGGAACTCTCCACCCTACACGAGGTTGTGTTGCCAAAATGTAAGACAGTGTCCGTCCACACTTTGACAAACTTCTCCTTGTGCACTAGCCATGTCTGATCCACATATTCCAGCACATGAGGAAACGCCGCATATGTAACAGCAAAATCAATTTCGGCAGTTTTGTATTTATCCCACGCGTTCGCCTCGACAACTTTCTTCCACTTGCCGTGCGTGAACTTCTGCGCGAAGATCTTATTTTTATTTGTGCTTGTCGACGTTAATCGATAGACCCTGTCTTCCACATCCTTGTTGATGTGCCACGTGCAGAGTAAGTGAGGCGTCGTCGGAAAATTCCTCTGAATAGGAGTGATCAACCCCAACTCCCTGTCACTGACAATGACTGTAGGATGTACATCAGGCCCTATCAGAAGTGTCAACCACTGTAGGACCCAGTCATAGCTGTACTCGGTCTCGTCCTTGATAATTGCATAAGCAATTAAGAAATTCTTATTGCACGGCGTCATTCCAACCATCTCAACCAACGGCATGTGGTACCTGTGCAAATGAAAGCAGCAAGAAGAAAAAACATAGAATCAAAAAACTTACTCGAACATACTATTTTAAGATTCACATTATATTACTATTTATAACGTAATGTAACATACCTGTTGGTTTTGTACGTGGAATCTATACCGACATACCAGTAATATGTCCGGAATAGACTGACTGCTACTGGATGGCACATGAACACACGTGTCAACTTCTGTGTGTCCGGGTCAACATCTGTGTAAACTATGTAGTTATTGCCCCTAGCCAAATGCAGAAGCTGGCCAACAACATCTCTACCCTGCAGACGGTCTTTTTGCAATTGACCTCTATAGTTATACACTTGTCGGCAAGTAGCGTTGTCCACTGGGTTTTTCTCCTGAATTGCAGCCAAAATTACTCTCGGTCTTGCCTGAGCATCAGTCATATCACGGACAATCTCTTTGGATGAATTGCTGAGTCGGCTCATCTGTCGATGACCCTCGGGATGCACAGCCAAAACATGATTATGAAATCCCTTCTCGTCTTCTAAAGGAAGCCAGATACTCTATTTTTTGGAATTTTCTTCAAATTTGACTTTTATCAGAAAAGGGCAACCAGTAAATTTAGTCTTCGAACGTCTCAAAACAGCATTCACAAGATTTCCTAGTTTTCCTGCCTTGCCTCTGCAACGTTCCCCTCGATGACACCTCAACATCCGAACCATTCCATCTTTTTTGTGTCTCGAGATGACCAATTCGAAATTCCATATCATTGCAATGTCTTTTGCCCATTCAATAGCTTCCTCATGACTATTGAATAGCTCATCTGTAGCAAAACAAGATCGGTAATCTTCGCCGTCTCCTCCAAAATCTTCGAGTGGCACCTGCAATATGTTACGATGTATGCTAATAATTTTACAAAATAATGAATTATAACTTCTCTCAAAATAATAATAGTAATTTGTAATTTATTATATAATCAATTCTAACTTCTAACGTAATATCAATAAATTTTACGTTATAAGATAATACATTCATATATATTAATAATTTATACTAATATAAATTTTTTCTATTACATAAATTTATACTATTAATTTAATACTAAATACTAATATTAGTTTTTTTATAAATACTTTCTATTAGTATATACTAAAAAAATTAATATATTAGTATATAAAAAATTATTATTATATTACTAATAGAATATTATATTACTAATAGAATTTTTAATATACTAATAGAATTTTATATATACTACACAAAGCACAACGAAAAAAGTTATATTAATATATAATAATATATA